ATGATATCTATGGACATGATGATGGATAAGGTTTTTGGAAGAATTAATAAATGTTATTAATTAAGTTATTATCCTTCTAGTGGAGGTGGATCATATATCGAAATAGCGGGCTGCAAAGATGGGGAAAATTAAAAAGATGGAAAATGGATTGAGTTGAGTGATGAATTTAAAGAGTATTTATTTGAGGATTATCATCTAATAATAGCTGGAATTAAATTTTATATATTGGTGAATATAAAAATGGTACAAAAATTGGTAGATGGGATAATTTGAGTAGAAAAGATTATAATGAATCATTTGAAAAGATGTATATATTTATATTATGACCTACTCTTCCTTATATTAGTGGTGGGGGATTGTATGTTGAAATAGAAAGGTATTAAGCTAGCGGAAACTAAAAAAATGGAAGATGGATTGAGACAAATAATGGATTTTATTTGTTTGGCGAGAATAATGTCATATAAATTGGCGAATATAATTATGGTAAAAAAGTGGGTAGATGGGATATCTTTTATGGTGCAGAATAGATGTAATTAATTAAATTATTAATCCCTTCTCAGTGGCGGTGGATCATATGTAGAAGTAGAAGAATGCAAATATGGAAATTAGAAGCACGGAATTTGGATTGAATTGAGTGAAGGATTTTATCAGTATATAATGAGAATTATAATAGTTAGAGTTAAGTAACTTACAAGGGAGAATATAAAAGTGGTAAAAAAGTGGGTAGATGGGATATCTTTTATAAATTTTCGAATAAATTCGAAAAGATGTAACATCTAAATATTTAAGTTCTCTTCTTGTTAGTGGTGGCGGATCATATGTTGAAATGGAGGGATTTAATAATAGAATAAATTACAAAGAAGGAAAATGGATTGAGTTGGATGAAGAATTTTACTAGTATATATTCGAGAATTATTATTTTTAATATAATAGTAACAACCAAGTCATTTATAATGGTGAATATTAAAAGGGTAAAAAAGTTGGGAAATGGGATGTTAAGGAGAGAAGTTATTAACACATGAAAGAAGGATTTAAAAAGAAGTAAATCAATATTTTAATAGTACTTTTAGAAGAGAAACTTTCTATAAGAAAGAAGGAAACGCGTTATTATGGAAATGAATTATAATAAAGAATGATTCAAATTTCACAAATAAAAATTAATTTATAATTTACTTTTTTTTTATGTAAACATAATTAATTTATTATATATATTTCTAAATCTTTAAAAATGACTTCTTTAAAATCATTATTTTGTAATACCAAATATCCCATATACCAATTTTATATTCTTCAATATAAATTACTTCTGATAGATCCCGAAAATTATCACTTGGTTATATCCATTTTTCATGTTTTTCTAATCTGTCTAATTCTCTATTTCAACAAATAATCCAAAATTTGAAATCTAGAATAAACAAACCTACTTTCTAATTCATCCCAAGAGATTCCTTGAAATTCATTAGTGAATTAACTTAATTTAAGCTATTGCACTAATTAAATTTCATTCATCAAATTATTTTAAATATTCGTAAAGAAAAAATAATAAATATATAGTTATATTCGCATGAGAATAAAATTAAAATTTAATTTAAAATGATGGTAAAATCAAATTTTAATATATATAGAATTGAATCAATATATTATAAAAAAAATATCATATGGATTTTGGCTTTAATTTTGAATTATGAAATGCATTAATTTACTTTTTATAACTGAATAATGCTAACTCACTTTTTTTTGATAATGATAATGACTAAGAAACATTTTAAATAATCAATCTCATTTATTAT